CCGCCATGCCGCCCACCACCCATGCGTGGACGCTGGTCGTGGCAGCAGTGATCGGCGTGGGCGTGACACCCGTGAGAGGAGGCGTGGCGCACGACCTACGTTACTCTAGGGCACAGCTGCATCTCGCGGACGGAGGGAACCAGGCATGGGTCGAGGTAAGGGAAAAATGACACGTTGTCCGAATAACCTGATTTATGCCTTCTGCGGAGGTAATGTTTATGCTCTCTCTCTCTCTCTCTTTCTATCTGCCTCTTACTTTCTTCTTCTCATTTTCTCTCTCAATCTTTCTCTCTCTCTCTCTAACTCTCTCTCTCTCTCTCTCTCTCTCTCTCTCTCTCTCTCTCTCTCTCTCTCTCTCTCTCTCTCTCTCTCTCTCTCTCTCTCTCTCTCTCTCTCTCTCTCTCTAGCCTCTCCTTTCCCTCCCCCCTCTCTCTCTCTCTCTCACTTCCCTCCCTCTTCCTTCCTTATGCTTCCTCTCCTCCTGTTATTCTCCCTTCCTTCGCCTCCCTTGGAATGAGCCCTTAGTGTCCAAAAACAGCCACAGGTTCGACGTCTTTGGTTGGACATCGAGTATACATCATAAACAGTTATTACTTTGTGTCACTTACTCAGACGCTGCAGCTGACGTCTAAGATGGACATCGTGAACTCGAGCAATAAATATAGTTTACAGGATGAATGAGGAAGATATGTATAATTGTTGCTGCATTGTCATCCTTCGCTTAACAATCGGAGATATGTAATTGGTTGATGTGTTTGAGCCTTATTTTTGTCTCTCCTTGTCTCCTTATCTGTCTTACTGTTTGTCTATATCTCCATCCTCACCTCTCCTCTTCTCTCTCTCTCTCTCTCTCTCTCTCTCTCTCTCTCTCTCTCCTCTCTCTCTCTCTCTCTCTCTCTCTCTCTCTCTCTCTCTCTCTCTCTCTCTCTCTCTTTCTTTCTCTCTCTCTCTCTTCTCTTCTCTCGCTCTTTCTTTCACTCCCCCCCCCACTCTCTCTCCCTCTCTCTCTCTCTCTCTTTCTCTCTCTCTCTCTCTCTCTCTCTCTCTTCTCTCTCTCTCTCTCTCTCTCTCTCTCTCTCTCTCTCTCTCTCTCTCTCTCTCTCCTCTCTCTCTCTCTCTCTCTTTCTTTCACTTCCCCCCCCTCCCTCTCTCTCTCTCTCTTTCGCCTTTCTCTTTTCCTTTCTTTCTTTCGCATTCTCTCCAAGAAGAGTTGCGGTATCATGTCCCCCGAACGTTGTAGCAGCTGTCATGTTGCTCTGCTGTCATGAACAGGCACGTCTGTTATCAGATAAGATGATGTCGTGTTTACTCAGTCTGTAAAAGGATTAATCTTACTCGTTAAGACGAAGAATGTCTCTACTGTATGCTATCACAATCGTCTTAAAAGTTTGAAGAAAAGTACAATGGAATAAGAGAGTTTGAAAATGTCAGAGAAGACCAGTTTTCTTAAAAGACTTACCTCATGATACACATTTAACCGACTACTTGGGAAGCTGACCCATCCCCTGTGCTCCCCATTAGTCCCTCCTACTCCCCTCCTAGCCCTTCCTTGCCCCTCCTAGCCCCTCCTAGCCCTTCCTACCCCTTCCTACCTCCTCCTACCCCCCCCCCCTGCTTCCTCCCACACCAGCAACCACACCCTTACCCTCTCATTAATTACCCTACCTCCCTCCCCACGCCCCCTTGCCCACACGCCCAGTATCGTTTGGTTGAGGGTAAGTGAAGCGTAGTGACCTTCTTGACCTGGGGTATGGGGTGTGGGCGAACCAAGAGGGGAAGGAAGGAGAAAGGGTAGAGGGGGCAGGATGGGGGAGGAAAGTGGAGAGGGAGGGGGGAGGGGGAAACAGTGGAAGGGAGAAAGTGTAGAAGAATATGGAAGTGGGGTGGGAGATGAGAAAGGGAGAAGAGGGAGATGAGGAAGAAAGAACGGGGAAGGGGGATGGGGTGTAGGAAAGGAGACAGCGGGGGGAGGAGAAAGACGAGGAGGATCGAAGGGTGAGATGGGGGAGGAGGAGGAGGAGGAAATACGAGAATGAACAGAGAGTGAGAGAACGAAGGGGGAGGGAAGAGGAGCCAAGAGAGTGTTCCCCAAGGGAGAGGATCAACTTCCCCCTGTGTCTCCCTCTGCCTTGGACAGTCGCGCTGGCTAGGGCATTGTGTGTACTTGAGTTACCACATTATCGTGCACGTGCTTGCTCGCGTGCAAAAAAATACAGATCCGCATTTAAGCGAATACGTATAAACAGTCGATGCGAAGGTTCACTTTTGAATAAATACAAGACCCGAAATATCACGAACAAACGCTCATAAATCTTGAAATAAAGTCCGACTTCAAAAAAAAGAAGAAATAAGCAAAGCAACTACTATCGTTGCATCCAAGCACGCCACAAGCTTACGCACGACCTTTTGCAAAGACATTTCAATTTAATAATGCGACTTAAGTGAGGTTATCTTAACTCAGGCTCCTTGCCACGCATGACATAACATGGGCAATACCAAG